ACCCCTTAATTTTTAAGGTCTCGATATCTACTCTAGTTTATTTTAACACATCTCACTCCGTCAATCTATTGAATTTCTCTTTCTTGTTCTTACTATTTCTTTGCATACCAAACATTCATCACCTTGTCCTCTGCCATTTTATTTTCGTGAAGTTAACTAATCAAATGGTTCTGCATGTTTGAGTTTGTGGTCACACTTGTCCAACTTGTCCATTATTTTTTCTCATGTTCTTTGATTGCTGCATCATATTCTATCTTCATTAATTTTATATCCGTTTAAATCTGGTCGCACTAGGTTTCATACGTGCTGTCTTTTACTTTTTTTAATAACCCACCATTTCATTACAGCATCCGAACATGGTTGTCGTTCATGTTCCAGTATTTGAAGGAACTACCCATGATCATCCCTCTTTATCAATGGCCTTTGTGTTGTTCCATTCCCTGAAAAATGCTATTTGGAGATTGGCGAGCATTTCCAATGGATTTTGGCTCTTTCTGATGGGTCGTCCAAGTTCGTCCCAAAGATGTTCCATTGGCGATAATCTGGAGACATTGCTGGCCACGGCAACACACGAATGTGATTATTCTCCAAAAAATCATTAAAATGTGTGCCACGTGACAACGGGCGTTTTCCTGCTGAAAAACGTGGTTAAAACGATGCCTTCGGAGAAACGGGAGAACGAGTGGAGCCAGAATTTCGTTCCTATACCTTTTTGCATTTAGGTTACCTTCAATAATTGTCAGATCGGTGCGTTCCTGGTAGGTTATTCCGTCCCATACCACAATTCCGCCACCCTCAAACCGATCCGTTTCCTGTACGCACGCATCAGAAAATCATGCATTGCACCTCCGGTAGACACTGGCTTTGCCGTGCCTAAATGTCAAGTTGAATTTCTATTCATCGGTAAAAAGGACTTGTCTCCATGTTAGCCTATTCCATCGAATCCGTACCCGAGTCCATTCAAGTCTCGACATCCTGTGACCCTGCGTAAGGATAGGTCCCTTCAACGGACGATGAGCTCTTAGGCAAACTTGATGCAGTCGGTTACAAACTGTTTGGGAATAAAGCCTGTTGTTGTTTCTTCCATGAGTTTGTCGTGCTGTTTGTGACAAGTTTACAAATCGATTCCGGAGATGAATAATGCGGATGTGACTGTCTTGACGTAACTTCGTTTCACGTTGCCTGCAACCTCGGGGACGATTATTTGTCGTGCCAGTATCTCTAAGACGAGTCTTAAGCCTTTCAATATTCATTCTAGAGACATTGGGATGATTTGCAACCTGTGTAAGAGTCATTTTTGCTGCAAACAACACAATAGCTCGTTCTCGCTCATTATGACGTAGACGTGGCATTGACTTACGTGTAACCATTTCAATTTTTTAATGCGACCTTTTGTTAACAATAGTGCTCGACACATCTAATGAACAAAAGGACAACTCAATTCCATCTCTATACAGGTAAATGTTTGAAAAAATGCTTATTTGTTTAAAATCAGAAAATGACGTAACGTCGTCTTCGAATTTTTAACAAATTAGTAAATGATAGATAAATCATTCAGGTCACTAGTTTTAATCTGGAAAATATTATAAATTAATACATGTAATTTCTTTTAATTAAAAACCAGGGTAACGTTTCTTTTTTTGCCTATATAGCTAGTAAACATTTATTTATATCAGACAATGCACGCACGTGGACGAGGGTACTTATACCGTCTTTAAGAATGTGGCGCTTGGATTGTCAATGATAAAGTTAACTGGTCTGTATGTAGTTTTACTATCATATCTTTAACAACTCAGTACTGTTTGCCGATTTTGTTTTATTCTGGTACAAAACCTCTGATATAAATAGACTTTTGAAAATAATACAAAGTAGACTGTCTATTAAGTCTGTCATAGTATATAGAACTTTAGGTTGTATACCAGCTGGCCTTCGCACTAAAGTTCCTTCATCTTCGTCGTTTTCTTTTTCGAAATTCCCTTGAAAAAAATTCAGCCAGTGTTCAGCCTTGTCTTTATCAGTACTTACATAACACATTTTACAATCTCTTTCATCATGTAATTCGGATGGGGGGATTTGGATTTTCATTTCGACTTCATATGACAAGAAATTCTTCTTTCCTGACTCTGATATGTCTTTTTCACGGTTTTCACGTTCTTGTCTGACATTTGAGTTGGCTTTGTTCCTCACTAAATTTTAGTTCCTTTCGACATAGCACCTCTTGAAGCTTTGCGCAAACTATGCGCCTGTGTTCCCTCTACAAGACCTTTATAGTCTTACCCCGCGACATCCAGAGGCTATGGAATAGGCAAATTCCTGTTGTTTTTCCCAAATTTTTTTGAAATTCCGAGCCCTAGTTTCAGTTTTTGGACAAAGCGCAACTCGAAACCTTGCGCAAACCATGCGCCTGTTTCTCCTCTACAAGACCTATATAGCTATACCCCGTGAAACGCCACATTATTTTTTTCTCTAGAAGCCATTGAATAGGTGTAATACCACCAATGCTTGGTACGTCACATCCGGTTGCATACGAAAATAGGTCGAAAAAAAATATTCCCTTGAATTTGACAGTTATAGGTAATTAATTCATCATTTTATTGCAGTAAAACATTTCTGGGTCATAAACATGTACATGTATCTTGGGTATTTCAAAGCATCATTTTTTTTAAATTTTGGGTTTGTATAGAATATTTTGGAAACTTGAGGTTGCATGGTAACTAAAGCTTGTATACAGGTTATATAAGGGGTGAAATTTGATTGGTTAACTGACAGTTATGGTTATTTTCTTATATGCAATGAAATTTTATGTGAATTCTTTTCTATAGTACTGGACAGGATAAAACTTTACTCATGCCAAGTATTTTTTTAATTTGAAACAAAGATAAATTCTGCACAATTTTTTGAAAAGTGCAAATTCTAAAAAAGACTAATAGGGGAAAATCAATGGTGGTATTACACCTAATATGGGGTGCTGTACATGCACCTTTGACCTTGTGAGTACTCTCGTGTGTTAAAACTTCTTGCTATTGAAATATTACAAACAATGAAATATTCTGAGTGGATTGAGTCTCCAAAACATATTTTATGAGAACATTTCCTTGAAATTGGACTCTACCATGAATATTAGTTAACAGAACAAGCCATACTTCACGGTGTTTTGGGGAGCTTTTTATCCTTTTTTCTTATATTCTGCTATAATAGAAAGTTTTCTCTCAGAAATATTTTAATAAATATATAGTTATAAGTAAATGTGATTATTTTGTAAAGCAGTACCAACAAATTATTCACTAATAGAGAAGCTTGTTATGTCCCTCTCTGGAACGCAGCGTAAATTTAAGTTTTACGTAAGGACTTATTAAAACCTCCAGTAAACTTTTATATGGATTGTTCATTCTGCTTGAATACTTCAATTACTAAATGTAATTTATTATAACATTTCTATCATAAATGAGTGAAAGTTACTTCATTATTTTTATTTATTGGCCTGAAAAGTTGAAATTTTGAGGAAATGACATGTATAAATGGACCAAAAGAGACCTTATAAAGAAGACAAAGGGTCCAGTAGTGGTATTTATCATCCTTAAGTCATCTTTTGTATCATATTCAACTGTTTGTAGGCAGATGAGATAAATATTTAATCATCATTGGTCCACACTACATTCTATCATGATGCGGCTTGGTTTGGATTTTTCGAAAAAATTCTGCACGAATCGCTGAAGATGTCGTCGTACATTATACTAGATTTTTCTCCAACTATTGAACTGATTATGACAAAACATGACAGGAATGCTTGAAAAAAACAGTATTACAAAGGAAAAAATCTTTCAGTTTATTAAATAAAAATGTCTTCTTCAGGTGTAATACCACCAAATCATGGCATGTCACATCCGGTTGCATACAAAAATAGGTCGAAAAAAATATTCCCTTAAATTTGACAGTTGTAGGTAATTAATCCATCATTTTATTGCAGTCAAACATTTCTGGGTCATAAACATATACATGTATCTTGGGTATTTCAAAGAATCATTATTGTTTTATTTGGGGTTTCTATAGAATATTTTGGAAACTTGAGGTTGCATGGTTACTAAAGCTTATACACAGGTTAAATAAGGGGCAAATTTGATTGGTTAACTGACAGTGATAGTTATTTACTTATATGCAATGAAATGTTATGTTAATTTTTTAATTTGAAACAAAGATAAATTCTCCACATTTTTTTGGAAAACTGCAAATTTAAAAAAAAATAATAAATGAAAATCAATGGAGGTATTACACCAATAGGCCAACCCCCTCTGTTTTTTTCCATTTTTTTTCAAATTTTGAGCTCTAGTTTCAGATTTTTTTAACATAGCGCCCTTTGATACCTTGCGCAAAAGATGCGCCTGTTTCTCCTCTACAAGACCTATATAGTCATACCCCGTGACACCCCTCATTATTTTTCTCTAGAAGCCATGAAATAGACCAACTCCCCTGTTTTTAACCACTTTTTTCAAATTTTGAGCTCTAGTTTCAGATTTTTGAACATAGCGCCCTTCGATACCTTGCGCAAAAGATGCGCCTGTTTCTCCTCTACAAGACCTATATAGTCATACTCCGTGACACCCCTCATTATTTTTCTCTAGAAGCCATGGAATAGGCCAACCCCCCTGTTTTTAACATTTTTTTTAAAAATTTTGAGTTCTAGTTTCAGATTTTGAACATAGCACCCTTCGATACCTTGCGCACAAGATGCGCCTGTTTCTCCTTTACAAGACCTATATAGTCATGTCCCGTGACACCCCTCATTATTTTTCTCTAGAATCCCTGGAATAGGCCAATCCCCCTGTTTTTAACATTTTTTTTTTTAATTTTGAGCTCTAGTTTCAAATTTTTGAACATAGCGCCCTTCGATACCTTGCGCACAAGATGCGCCTATTTCTCCTCGACAAGACCTTTATAGTCATACCCCGTGACACCCCTCATTATTTTTCTCTAGAAGCCATGGAATAGGCCAACCCCCCCTGTTTTTAAAATTTTTTTTTTTTTTTAATTTTGAGCTCTAGTTTCAGATTTTTGAACATAGCGCCCTTCAATACCTTGCGCAAAAGATGCGCCTGTTTCTCCTCTACAAGTCCTATATAATCATACCCCGTGACACCCCTCATTATTTTTCTCTAGAAGCCATGGAATAGGCCAACCTCCCTGTTTTTAACATTTTTTTGTTTTAATTTTGAGCTCTAGTTTCAGATTTTTGAACATAGCACCCTTCGATACCTTGCGCAAAATATGCGCCTGTTTCTCCTCTACAAGACCTATATAGTCATACCCCGTGACACTCCTCATTATTTTTCTCTAGAAGCCATGGAATAGGCCAACCTCCGTGTTTTTAACATTTTTTTTTTTAATTTTGAGCTCTAGTGTCAGATTTTTGAACATAGCGCCCTTCAATACCTTGCGCAAAAGATGCGCCTGTTTCTCCTCTTCAAGACCTATATAGTCATACTCCGTGACACCCCTCATTATTTTTTTCTAGAAGCCATGGAATAGGCCAACCCCCTGTTTTTAACATTTTTTTTTTTAATTTTGAGCTCTAGTTTCAGATTTTTGAACATAGCGCCCTTCGATACCTTGCGCAAAAGATGCGCCTGTTTCTCCTCTACAAGACCTATATAGTCATACCCCGTGACACCCCTCATTTTTTTTTCTCTAGAAGCCATGGAATAGGCCAACCCCCTGTTTTTAACATTTTTTTTTTTAATTTTGAGCTCTAGTTTCAGATTTTTGAACATAGCGCCCTTCGATACCTTGCGCAAAAGATGCGCCTGTTTCTCCTCTACAAGACTTATATAGTCATACCCCGTGACACCCCTCATTATTTTTCTCTAGAAGCCATGGAATAGGCCAAACTCCCTGTTTTTAACTATCTTTTTTTAATTTTGAGCTCTAGTGATATTTTTGAACATAGCGCCCTTCGATACCTTGCGCAAAAGATGCGCCTGTTTCTCCTCTACAAGACCTATATAGTCATACCCCGTGACACCCCTCATTATTTTTCTCTAGAAGCCATGGAATAGGCCAACCTCCCTGTTTTTAACATTTTTTTGTTTTAATTTTGAGCTCTAGTTTCAGATTTTTGAACATAGCGCCCTTCGATACCTTGCGCAAAAGATGCGCCTGTTCCTCCTCTACAAGACTTATATAGTCATACCCCGTGACACCCCTCATTATTTTCTCTAGAAGCCATGGAATAGGCCAACCTCCCAGTTTTTGACATATTTTTTTTTTAATTTTGAGCTCTAGTGTCAGATTTTTGAACATAGCGCCCTTCGATACCTTGCGCAAAAGATGCGCCTGTTTCTCCTCTTCAAGACCTATATAGTCATACACCGTGAAACCCCTCATTATTTTTCTCTAGAAGACATGGAATAGGCCAACCCCCTGTTTTTAACATTTTTTTTTTTTAATTTTGAGCTCTAGTTTCAGATTTTTGAACATAGCGCCCTTCGATACCTTGCGCAAAAGATGCGCCTGTTTCTTCTCTACAATTCCTATATAATCATACCCCGCGACACCCTTCATTATTTTTCTCAAGAAGCCATGGAATAGGCCAACCTCCCTGTTTTTAACATTTTTTTGTTTTAAATTTGAGCTCTAGTTTCAGATTTTTGAACATAGCGCCCTTCGATACCTTGCGCAAAAGATGCGCCTGTTTCTCTTCTTCAAGACCTATATAGTCATACCCCGTGACACCCCTCATTATTTTTCTCTAGAAGCCATGGAATAGGCCAACCCCCCCTGTTTTTAACATTTTTTTTTTTTAATTTTGAGCTCTAGTTTCAGATTTTTGAACATAGCGCCCTTCGATACCTTGCGCAAAAGATGCGCCTGTTTCTCCTCTACAAGACCTATATAGTCATATCCCGTGACACCCCTCATTATTTTTCTCTAGAAGGCATGGAATAGACCAAACCCCTGGTTTTTAAATTTTTTTTTCAAATTTTGGCTCTAGTTTCAGATTTTTGAACATAGCGCCCTTCGATACCTTGCACAAAAGATGCGCCTGTTTCTCCTCGACAAGACCTATATAGTCATACCCCGTGACACCCCTCATTATTTTTCTCTAGAAGCCATGGAATAGGCCAACCCCCCTGTTTTTAACATTTTTTTTTTTTTAATTTTGAGCTCTAGTTTCAGATTTTTGAACATAGCGCCCTTCGATACCTTACACAAAAGATGCGCCTGTTTCTCCTCTACAAGACCTATATAGTCATACCCCGTGACACTCCTCATTATTTTTCTCTAGAAGCCATGGAATAGGCCAACCTCCGTGTTTTTATCATTTTTTTTTTAATTTTGAGCTCTAGTGTCAGATTTTTGAACATAGCACCCTTCGATACCTTGCGCAAAAGATGCGCCTGTTTCTCCTCTTCAAGACCTATATAGTCATACCCCGTGACACCCCTCATTATTTTTTTCTAGAAGCCATGGAATAGGCCAACCCCCTGTTTTTAACATTTTTTTTTTTAATTTTGAGCTCTAGTTTCAGATTTTTGAACATAGCGCCCTTCGATACCTTGCGCAAAAGATGCGCCTGTTTCTCCTCTACAAGACCTATATAGTCATACCCCGTGACACCCCTCATTTTTTTTTCTCTAGAAGCCATGGAATAGGCCAACCCCCCTGTTTTTAACATTTTTTTTTTAATTTTGAGCTCTAGTTTCAGATTTTTGAACAAAGCGCCCTTCGATACCTTGCGCAAAAGATGCGCCTGTTTCTCCTCTACAAGACTTATATAGTCATACCCCGTGACACCCCTCATTATTTTTCTCTAGAAGCCATGGAATAGGCCAACCTCCCTGTTTTTAACTATTTTTTTTTAATTTTGAGCTCTAGTGATATTTTTGAACATAGCGCCCTTCGATACCTTGCGCAAAAGATGCGCCTGTTTCTCCTTTTCAAGACCTATATAGTCATTCCCCGTGACACCCCTCATTATTTTTCTCTAGAAGCCATGGAATAGGCCAACCCCCTGTTTTTAACATTTTTTTTTTTTAATTTTGAGCTCTAGTTTCATATTTTTGAACATAGCGCCCTTCGATACCTTGCGCAAAAGATGCGCCTGTTTCTCCTCTACAAGACCTATATAGTCATACCCCGTGACACTCCTCATTATTTTTCTTTAGAAGCCATGGAATAGGCCAACCCCCTGTTTTTAACATTTTTTTTTTAAATTTAGAGCTCTAGTGTGAGATTTTTGATCATAGCGCCCTTCGATACTTTGCGCAAAAGATGAGCCTGTTTCTCCTCTACAAGACCTATATAGTCATACCCCGTGACACCCCTCATTATTTTTCTCTAGAAGCCATGGAATAGGCCAACCCCCCCCTGTTTTTAACAATTTTTTTTTAAATTTTGAGTTCTAGTTTCAGATTTTTGAACATAGCACCCTTCGATACCTTGCGCACAAGATGCGCCTGTTTCTCTTCTACAAGACCTATATAGTCATGTCCCGTGACACCCCTCATTATTTTTCTCTAGAAGCCATGGAATAGACCAACCCCCCTGTTTTTAACATTTTTTTTTTTAATTTTGAGCTCTAGTTTCAGATTTTTGAACATAGCGCCCTTCGATACCTTGCGCAAAAGATGCGCCTGTTTCTCCTCGACAAGACCTATATAGTCATACCCCGTGACACCCCTCATTATTTTTCTCTAGAAGCCATGGAATAGGCCAACCCCCCTGTTTTTAACATTTTTTTTTTAATTTTGAGCTCTAGTTTCAGATTTTTGAACATAGCGCCCTTCGATACCTTGCGCAAAAGATGCGCCTGTTTCTCCTCTACAAGACTTATATAGTCATATCCCGTGACACCCCTCATTATTTTTCTCTAGAAGCCATGGAATAGACCAACCTCCCTGTTTTTAACATTTTTTTTTTAATTTTGAGCTCTAGTGTCAGATTTTTGAACATAGCGCCCTTCGATACCTTGCGCAAAAGATGCGCCTGTTTCTCTTCTTCAAGACCTATATAGTCATATTCCGTGACACCCCTAATTATTTTTCTTTAGAAGCCATGGAATAGGCCAACCCCCCTGTTTTTAACATTTTTTTTTTTAATTTTGAGCTCTAGTTTCAGATTTTTGAACATAGCGCCCTTCGATACCTTGCGCAAAAGATGCGCCTGTTTCTCCTCTACAAGACCTATATAGTCATATCCCGTGACACCCCTCATTATTTTTCTCTAGAAGGCATGGAATAGACCAACCCCCTTGTTTTTAACATTTTTTTTTTAAATTTTGAGCTCTAGTTTCAGATTTTTGAACATAGCGCCCTTCGATACCTTGCACAAAAGATGCGCCTGTTTCTCCTCTACAAGACCTATATAGTCATATCCCGTGACACCCCTCATTATTTTTCTCTAGAAGCCATGGAATAGACCAACCCCCTTGTTTTTAACATTTTTTTTTTAAATTTTGGCTCTAGTTTCAGATTTTTGAACATAGCACCCTTCGATACCTTGCACAAAAGATGCGCCTGTTTCTCCTCGACAAGACCTATATAGTCATACCCCGTGACACCCCTCATTATTTTTCTCTAGAAGCCATGGAATAGGCCAACCCCCCTGTTTTTAACATTTTTTTTTTTAATTTTGAGCTCTAGTTTCAGATTTTTGAACATAGCGCCCTTCGATACCTTGCACAAAAGATGCGCCTGATTCTCCTCTACAAGACCTATATAGTCATACCCCGTGACACCCCTCATTATTTTTCTCTAGAAGCCATGGAATAGGCCAACCTCCGTGTTTTTAACATTTTTTTTTTTTAATTTTGAGCTCTAGTGTCAGATTTTTGAACATAGCGCCCTTCGATACCTTGCGCAAAAGATGCGCCTGTTTCTCCTCTTCAAGACCTATATAGTCATACCCCGTGACACCCCTCATTATTTTTCTCTAGAAGCCATGGAATAGGCCAACCCCCTGTTTTTAACATTTTTTTTTTTTAATTTTGAGCTCTAGTTTCAGATTTTAGAACATAGCGCCCTTCGATACCTTGCGCAAAAGATGCGCCTGTTTCTCCTCTACAAGACCTATATAGTCATACCCCGTGACACCCTTCATTATTTTTCTCTAGAAGCCATGGAATAGGCCAACCTCCCTGTTTTTAACATTTTTTTGTTTTAATTTTGAGCTCTAGTTTCAGATTTTTGAACATAGCGCCCTTCGATACCTTGCGCAAAAGATGCGCCTGTTTCTCCTCTACAAGACCTATATAGTCATATCCCGTGACACCCCTCATTATTTTTCTCTAGAAGGCATGGAATAGACCAACCCCCTTGTTTTTAACATTTTTTTTTTAAATTTTGAGCTCTAGTTTCAGATTTTTGAACATAGCGCCCTTCGATACCTTGCACAAAAGATGCGCCTGTTTCTCCTCTACAAGACCTATATAGTCATATCCCGTGACACCCCTCATTATTTTTCTCTAGAAGCCATGGAATAGACCAACCCCCTTGTTTTTAACATTTTTTTTTTAAATTTTGGCTCTAGTTTCAGATTTTTGAACATAGCGCCCTTCGATACCTTGCACAAAAGATGCGCCTGTTTCTCCTCGACAAGACCTATATAGTCATACCCCGTGACACCCCTCATTATTTTTCTCTAGAAGCCATGGAATAGGCCAACCCCCCTGTTTTTAACATTTTTTTTTTTAAATTTTGAGCTCTAGTTTCAGATTTTTGAACATAGCGCCCTTCGATACCTTGCACAAAAGATGCGCCTGATTCTCCTCTACAAGACCTATATAGTCATACCCCGTGACACCCCTCATTATTTTTCTCTAGAAGCCATGGAATAGGCCAACCTCCCTGTTTTTAACATTTTTTTTTTTTAATTTTGAGCTCTAGTGTCAGATTTTTGAACATAGCGCCCTTCGATACCTTGCGCAAAAGATGCGCCTGTTTCTCCTCTTCAAGACCTATATAGTCATACCCCGTGACACCCCTCATTATTTTTCTCTAGAAGCCATGGAATAGGCCAACCCCCTGTTTTTAACATTTTTTTTTTTTAATTTTGAGCTCTAGTTTCAGATTTTAGAACATAGCGCCCTTCGATACCTTGCGCAAAAGATGCGCCTGTTTCTCCTCTACAAGACCTATATAGTCATACCCCGTGACACCCTTCATTATTTTTCTCTAGAAGCCATGGAATAGGCCAACCTCCCTGTTTTTAACATTTTTTTGTTTTAATTTTGAGCTCTAGTTTCAGATTTTTGAACATAGCGCCCTTCGATACCTTGCGCAAAAGATGCGCCTGTTCCTCCTCTACAAGACTTATATAGTCATACCCCGTGACACCCCTCATTATTTTTCTCTAGAAGCCATGGAATAGGCCAACCTCCCAGTTTTTGACATTTTTTTTTTTAATTTTGAGCTCTAGTGTCAGATTTTTGAACATAGCGCCCTTCGATACCTTGCGCAAAAGATGCGCCTGTTTCTCCTCTTCAAGACCTATATAGTCATACACCGTGAAACCCCTCATTATTTTTCTCTAGAAGCCATGGAATAGGCCAACCCCCTGTTTTTAACATTTTTTTTTTTTAATTTTGAGCTCTAGTTTCAGATTTTTGAACATAGCGCCCTTCGATACCTTGCGCAAAAGATGCGCCTGTTTCTTCTCTACAATTCCTATATAATCATACCCCGTGACACCCTTCATTATTTTTCTCAAGAAGCCATGGAATAGGCCAACCTCCCTGTTTTTAACATTTTTTTGTTTTAAATTTGAGCTCTAGTTTCAGATTTTTGAACATAGCGCCCTTCGATACCTTGCGCAAAAGATGCGCCTGTTTCTCTTCTTCAAGACCTATATAGTCATACCCCGTGACACCCCTCATTATTTTTCTCTAGAAGCCATGGAATAGGCCAACCCCCCTGTTTTTAACATTTTTTTTTTTAATTTTGAGCTCTAGTTTCAGATTTTTGAACATAGCGCCCTTCGATACCTTGCGCAAATGATGCGCCTGTTTCTCCTCTACAAGACCTATATAGTCATATCCCATGACACCCCTCATTATTTTTCTCTAGAAGGCATGGAATAGACCAAACCCCTGGTTTTTAAATTTTTTTTTCAAATTTTGGCTCTAGTTTCAGATTTTTGAACATAGCGCCCTTCGATACCTTGCACAAAAGATGCGCCTGTTTCTCCTCGACAAGACCTATATAGTCATTCCCCGTGACACCCCTCATTATTTTTCTCTAGAAGCCATGGAATAGGCCAACCCCCCTGTTTTTAACATTTTTTTTTTTAATTTTGAGCTCTAGTTTCAGATTTTTGAACATAGCGCCCTTCGATACCTTACACAAAAGATGCGCCTGTTTCTCCTCTACAAGACCTATATAGTCATACCCCGTGACACTCCTCATTATTTTTCTCTAGAAGCCATGGAATAGGCCAACCTCCGTGTTTTTAACATTTTTTTTTTAATTTTGAGCTCTAGTGTCAGATTTTTGAACATAGCGCCCTTCGATACCTTGCGCAAAAGATGCGCCTGTTTCTCCTCTTCAAGACCTATATAGTCATACCCCGTGACACCCCTCATTATTTTTTTCTAGAAGCCATGGAATAGGCCAACCCCCTGTTTTTAACATTTTTTTTTTTAATTTTGAGCTCTAGTTTCAGATTTTTGAACATAGCGCCCTTCGATACCTTGCGCAAAAGATGCGCCTGTTTCTCCTTTACAAGACCTATATAGTCATACCCCGTGACACCCCTCATTTTTTTTCTCTAGAAGCCATGGAATAGGCCAACCCCCCTGTTTTTAACATTTTTTTTTTTAATTTTGAGCTCTAGTTTCAGATTTTTGAACAAAGCGCCCTTCGATACCTTGCGCAAAAGATGCGCCTGTTTCTCCTCTACAAGACTTATATAGTCATACCCCGTGACACCCCTCATTATTTTTCTCTAGAAGCCATGGAATAGGCCAACCTCCCTGTTTTTAACTATTTTTTTTTAATTTTGAGCTCTAGTGATATTTTTGAACATAGCGCCCTTCGATACCTTGCGCAAAAGATGCGCCTGTTTCTCCTTTTCAAGACCTATATAGTCATTCCCCGTGACACCCCTCATTATTTTTCTCTAGAAGCCATGGAATAGGCCAACCCCCTGTTTTTAACATTTTTTTTTTTTAATTTTGAGCTCTAGTTTCATATTTTTGAACATAGCGCCCTTCGATACCTTGCGCAAAAAAAGCGCCTGTTTCTCCTCTACAAGACCTATATAGTCATATCCCGTGACACTCCTCATTATTTTTCTCTAGAAGCCATGGAATAGGCCAACCCCCCTGTTTTTAACATTTTTTTTAAAAATTTTGAGCTCTAGTTTTAGATTTTTGAACATAGCGCCCTTCGATACCTTGCACAAAAGATGCGCCTGTTTCTCCTCTACAAGACCTATATAGTCATACCCCATGACACCCCTCATTATTTTTCTCTAGAAGCCATGGAATAGGCCAACCCCCCTGTTTTTAAGATTTTTTTTTAAAATTTAGAGCTCTAGTGTCAGATTTTTGATCATAGCGCCCTTCGATACTTTGCGCAAAAGATGAGCCTGTTTCTCCTCTACAAGACCTATATAGTCATACCCCGTGACACCCCTCATTATTTTTCTCTAGAAGCTATGGAATAGGCCAACCCCCCCCTGTTTTTAACAATTTTTTTTTAAATTTTGAGTTCTAGTTTCAGATTTTTGAACATAGCACCCTTCGATACCTTGCGCACAAGATGCGCCTGTTTCTCTTCTACAAGACCTATATAGTCATGTCCCGTGACACCCCTCATTATTTTTCTGTAGAAGCCATGGAATAGACCAACCCCTCTGTTTTTAACATTTTTTTTTTTAATTTTGAGCTCTAGTTTCAGATTTTTGAACATAGCGCCCTTCGATACCTTGCGCAAAAGATGCGCCTGTTTCTCCTCGACAAGACCTATATAGTCATACCCCGTGACACCCTTCATTATTTTTCTCTAGAAGCCATGGAATAGGCCAACCCCCCTGTTTTTAACATTTTTTTTTAATTTTGAGCTCTAGTTTCAGATTTTTGAACATAGCGCCCTTCGATACCTTGCGCAAAAGATGCGCCTGTTTCTCCTCTACAAGTCCTATATAATCATACCCCGTGACACCCCTCATTATTTTTCTCTAGAAGCCATGGAATAGGCCAACCTCCCTGTTTTCAACATTTTTTTGTTTTAATTTTGAGCTCTAGTTTCAGATTTTTGAACATAGCGCCCTTCGATACCTTGCGCAAAAGATGCGCCTGTTTCTCCTCTACAAGACTTATATAGTCATATCCCGTGACACCCCTCATTATTTTTCTCTAGAAGCCATGGAATAGACCAACCTCCCTGTTTTTAACATTTTTTTTTTTAATTTTGAGCTCTAGTGTCAGATTTTTGAACATAGCGCCCTTCGATACCTTGCGCAAAAGATGCGCCTGTTTCTCTTCTTCAAGACCTATATAGTCATATTCCGTGACACCCCTAATTATTTTTCTTTAGAAGCCATGGAATAGGCCAACCCCCCTGTTTTTAACATTTTTTTTTTTAATTTTGAGCTCTAGTTTCAGATTTTTGAACATAGCGCCCTTCGATACCTTGCGCAAAAGATGCGCCTGTTTCTCCTCTACAAGACCTATATAGTCATATCCCGTGACACCCCTCATTATTTTTCTCTAGAAGGCATGGAATAGACCAACCCCCTTGTTTTTAACATTTTTTTTTTAAATTTTGAGCTCTAGTTTCAGATTTTTGAACATAGCGCCCTTCGATACCTTGCACAAAAGATGCGCCTGTTTCTCCTCGACAAGACCTATATAGTCATACCCCGTGACACCCCTCATTATTTTTCTCTAGAAGCCATGGAATAGGCCAACCCCCCTGTTTTTAACATTTTTTTTTTTAATTTTGAGCTCTAGTTTCAGATTTTTGAACATAGCACCCTTTGATACCTTGCGCAAAAGATGCGCCTGTTTCTCCTCTACAAGACCTATATAGTCATATGCCGTGACACCCCTCATTATTTTTCTCTAGAAGCCATGGAATAGACCAACCCCCCTGTTTTAAAATTTTTTTTTTAAATTTTGAGCTCTAGTTTCAGATTTTTGAACATAGCGCCCTTCGATACCTTGCACAAAAGATGCGCCTGTTTCTCCTCGACAAGACCTATATAGTCATACCCCGTGACACCCCTCATTATTTTTCTCTAGAAGCCATGGAATAGGCCAACCTCCCTGTTTTTAACATTTTTTTGTTTTAATTTTGAGCTCTAGTTTCAGATTTTTGAACAAAGCGCCCTTCGATACCTTGCGCAAAAGATGCGCCTGTTTCTCCTCTACAAGACTTATATAGTCATACCCCGTGACACCCCTCATTATTTTTCTCTAGAAGCCATGGAATAGGCCAACCTCCCTGTTTTTAACTATTTTTTTTTAATTTTGAGCTCTAGTGATATTTTTGAACATAGCGCCCTTCGATACCTTGCGCAAAAGATGCGCCTGTTTCTCCTTTTCAAGACCTATATAGTCATACCCCGTGACACCCCTCATTATTTTTCTCTAGAAGCCATGGAATAGGCCAACCCCCCTGTTTTTAACATTTTTTTTTTTAATTTTGAGCTCTAGTTTCAGATTTTTGAACATAGCGCCCTTCGATACCTTGCGCAAAAGATGCGCCTGTTTCTCCTCTACAAGACCTATATAGTCATACCCCGTGACACTCCTCATTATTTTTCTCTAGAAGCCATGGAATAGGCCAACCCCCCTGTTTTTAACATTTTTTTTTTAAATTTTGAGCTCTAGTTTCAGATTTTTGAACATAGCGCCCTTCGATACCTTGCACAAAAGATGCGCCTGTTTCTCCTCTACAAGACCTATATAGTCATACCCCATGACACCCCTCATTATTTTTCTCTAGAAGCCATGGAATAGGCCAACCCCCCTGTTTTTAAGATTTTTTTTTTAAATTTAGAGCTCTAGTGTCAGATTTTTTATCATAGCGCCCTTCGATACTTTGCGCAAAAGATGAGCCTGTTTCTCCTCTACAAGACCTATATAGTCATACCCCGTGACACCCATCATTATTTTTCTCTAGAAGCCATGGAATAGGCCAACCCCCCCTGTTTTTAACAATTTTTTTTTAAATTTTGAGTTCTAGTTTCAGATTTTTGAACATAGCACCCTTCGATACCTTGCGCACAAGATGCGCCTGTTTCTCTTCTACAAGACCTATATAGTCATGTCCCGTTACACCCCTCATTATTTTTCTCTAGAAGCCATGGAATAGGCCAACCCCCCTGTTTTTAACATTTTTTTTTTTAATTTTGAGCTCTAGTTTCAGATTTTTGAACATAGCGCCCTTCGATACCTTGCGCAAATGATGCGCCTGTTTCTCCTCGACAAGACCTATATAGTCATACCCCGTGACACCCCTCATTATTTTTCTCTAGAAGCCATGGAATAGGCCAACCCCCCTGTTTTTAACATTTTTTTTTTTAATTTTGAGCTCTAGTTTCAGATTTTTGAACATAGCGCCCTTCGATACCTTGCGCAAAAGATGCGCCTGTTTCTCCTCTACAAGTCCTATATAATCATACCCCGTGACACCCCTCATTATTTTTCTCTAGAAGCCATGGAATAGGCCAACCTCCCTGTTTTCAACATTTTTTTGTTTTAATTTTGAGCTCTAGTTTCAGATTTTTGAACATAGCGCCCTTCGATACCTTGCGCAAAAGATGCGCCTGTTTCTCCTCTACAAGACTTATATAGTCATATCCCGTGACACCCCTCATTATTTTTCTCTAGAAGCCATGGAATAGGCCAACCTCCCTGTTTTTAACATTTTTTTTTTTAATTTTGAGCTCTAGTTTCAGATTTTTGAACATAGCGCCCTTGGATACCTTGCGCAAAAGATGCGCCTGTTTCTCTTCTTCAAGACCTATATAGTCATATTCCGTGACACCCCTAATTATTTTTCTCTAGAAGCCATGGAATAGGCCAACCCCCCTGTTTTTAACATTTTTTTTTTTAATTTTGAGCTCTAGTTTCAGATTTTTGAACATAGCGCCCTTCGATACCTTGCGCAAAAGATGCGCCTGTTTCTCCTCTACAAGACCTATATAGTCATACCCCGTGACACCCCTCATTATTTTTCTCTAGAAGCCATGGAATAGGCCAACCCCCCTGTTTTTAACATTTTTTTTTTTAATTTTGAGCTCTAGTTTCAGATTTTTGAACATAGCGCCCTTCGATACCTTGCACAAAAGATGCGCCTGTTTCTCCTCTACAAGACCTATATAGTCATACCCCATGACACCCCTCATTATTTTTCTCTAGAAGCCATGGAATAGGCCAACCCCCCTGTTTTTAACATTTTTTTTTTTTAAATTTAGAGCTCTAGTGTCAGATTTTTGAACATAGCGCCCTTCGATACTTTGCGCAAAAGATGCGCCTGTTTCTCCTCTACAAGACCTATATAGTCATACCCCGTGACACCCCTCATTATTTTTCTCTAGAAGCCATGGAATAGGCCAACCCCCCTGTTTTTAACAATTTTTTTTTAAATTTTGAGTTCTAGTTTTAGATTTTTGAACATAGCACCCTTCGATACCTTGCGCACAAGATGCGCCTGTTTCTCCTCTACAAGACCTATATAGTCATGTCCCGTGACACCCCTCATTATTTTTCTCTAGAAGCCCTGGAATAGGCCAACCCCCCTGTTTTTAACATTTTTTTTTTTTAATTTTGAGCTCTAGTTTCAGATTTTTGAACATAGCGCCCTTCGATACCTTGCGCAAAAGATGCGCCTGTTTCTCCTCGACAAGACCTATATAGTCATACCCCGTGACACCCCTCATTATTTTTCTCTAGAAGCCATGGAATAGGCCAACCTCCCTGTTTTTAACATTTTTTTGTTTTAATTTTGAGCTCTAGTTTCAGATTTTTGAACATAGCGCCCTTCGATACCTTGCGCAAAAGATGCACCAATTTCTCCTCTACAAGACTTATATAGTCATACCCCGTGACACCCCTCATTATTTTTCTCTAGAAGCCATGGAATAGTCCAACCCTCATTTCTGCAAATGTGTATTATAGTTCAATTAAACAATGACATCAAAGGTGCTATATTTTACAGGGAAGGACTACTTTTACATACGTTCTAAATTGAAGTGGATGCATTAGTGGTCTTACACCTACAAATAATCCCTTGACAGATGCAGATTTACTGTGGTACTGAATATTAGCCTAAAAAGAGATGCGACTTGTTTTATCAATGGATGGGATAAATACCATTTCACGATAGAGTTGAAATTGCAATATTTGGACGGAATGTCTGCCTTTTTAAATATTTTTCATTTGACGGCCGTTGCTGTCTTATTCATTTTTTCGGTTTTTAGATATATCGCCTTATTGTTCGCTGGCTTATTGTTCGCTAGTTATTGTTCGCTAGCTTCAGCCTGGTGGTGTACATGTCTAGCTGGCAGGTGTCATCTGACCTTGACCTCATTATCATAGTTCAGTGGTTATAGTTAAGTTTTTGTGTTTTGGTCCGTTTTTCTTATACTTTATGCAATAGGTCTACTATATTTGGTGTATGGAATGATTGTAAGGTGTACATGTCCAACTGGCAGGTGTCATCTGACTTTTACCTCATTTTCATGGTTCAGTGGTCAAAGTTATGTTTTTGAGTTTTGGTCTTTTTTCTTATACTATATGCAATAAGTCAACTATATTTGGTGTATGGAAATATTCTATGATGTACATGTCAGTCTCGCAGGTTTTATTTGACCTTGACCTCATTTTCACGGTTCATTGCTCAGTGTTAAGTTTATGTGTTTCAGTCTGTTTTTCTTAAACTATAAGCAATAGGTCAGCTATATTTGTTGTATGGAAGGATTGTAAGCTGTTCATGTCTGTCTGGCATGGTTCATCTGACCTTGACCTCATTTTCACGATTCATCGGTCAATGTTTAGTTTTCTTGGTTAAGTCTGTTTCTTAGAAACTATAAGCAATAGGTCAACTATATTTAGTGTATTGAATGATTGTAAGGTGTACATGTATTTCTCGTTTGGTTTATATGACCTTGACTTCATTTTCTTGGATCATGTTAAGTTTATGTGATAGTTGTAGTAAAGCTTTCATTTAGGACTATCAACATAATATCAATGGTTAGTTAAGAAAGCGAGACATTTCAGCGTGTGCACTCTTGTTAAATACATTGGTCATTCTGTGTATCTCAAAAAGTAAAAGCAAATGCTTTGATAGGAATAATTTAAACAACTATCATGAAACACCACAACAAAAACGAATTATCAAATAATACAGATAATATGAAAATAAAGAGATATGTATAATTGACAATGAGACATCTATCCACCAGTGTCCAAATGACGTGGATGTGCGCAACTATAGGTCACCGTACAGCCTTCATCAATGAGCAAGACCTTTACCTCCTGTCGACTATAAAAGGCCCCGAAAGGACAAAATGTGAAACAATTCAAACAAAAAACTAAACGGTCGGATTTATGACGAAACAAGAAACGCAAAAGATCTCAACCAAAAGCTATTTTAAAAAGATTTCCATCTCTATATGTTTTAAGATGCACATTGACTGAAAATTATGAAACTTGGAATAGATGTGCATGATCAGGAGTGAAAAAGCGGTCTTCCAGAGGTAAATAACCTCCATCTACATTTCATACCCATGGCTAAGGTCAAGTTTAACGTCAGATCAGATCATATCATAGCTGTTATATATGTGACCTATCGTGAACATTTGGTGTAATGATGCGTCTAAGGTTTATTGTTGCTTTAACGTCCAGTAGCAAACAGTTCTTACATATTCAAGACTATTGCAGTTTGTTTTTTTAAACATATAGTTCTGATCCGACCCAACCTCCAATGTCAATTTCTAGATGTCAAGATATAAAGCAGACCTAACTGTATATGTTGGGGAAAAGATCCATCTTATGAACTTTATATACCAGTGGTCAGACTTTTCTTCTTTCTGAGACCTCAACGGTAAACATGTGCTCTTCACTAAGATAAAATGGAGATTTTTTTTATGTTTAATGTGATTTGAAGGAGTTAAACGAATTTACTGATAGATTTCAAACAATTTCCACCAACGTAACTTTAAAATGATATTATGCATATGTGGTCGTCTACCACATAATATTTTTACGTTTAATTTCTATTTCTCCGACAATAATTCGTAATACTTATTCTTATGTTTTATACAAATAGGTCTGGCAGATTTTATTATTATTTTTTTCATTATACAATATTATCAGTCAAAAAGTGTTCTATAATGATCACCAGTCATGCAACTATCTTTATATCCGAAAATTACTGAATTGCTACATATATTCTAAAAGTAACACCTACATGTATGTGTAGAAAATTTGGTGTTTAAATATATACTACTTTCCTTTATGCTTTTTTTAACCGGAGTATATATGTTTGGTTTTTTTTTCTGACCGAAACCAGACGTGCCAACTATCCCAATTTATGGGGGATATCCCCCATGAGAGGTGCTGACCTGAATTTGATTTTTTTTATTATACAAACAGAACACCTCAAAACAGGCATTAAAATGAGTTAGAAGGGTATTTAAGCATATATTACTCATTCAAACAATATAGTAGAAGATTAATAAATTGCTTTGCCGAGCGCAGCTGGATACGATCACAGAGGTCCGACCCTGAACAGTTGGGGCAAAAATGGACACAATATTCGCGCTTGATTCAGGTCTGAATTTGGATTGTAATTAAATATTTGACACATGATAGATTTCTGTCACAGAATAACTGTAGTCAAAGAACTTAGAATTGGTTATATGATTTGAATTTATATTCAATTTTTTCCTTTTGTGCAATACACTATGCTGTTGCGAATTGACCCCCCTTTTTTTGGCTTTTGTGCAATACACAATGCTGTGTGCGAATTGACCACCACCCCCACACCCCAAAATTTTTTTACCCCCCCCCCCCTCCCCTTTTTTTGCCAAAAAAAAAATTTTTTAATTCCGAAAATCTAAAATGAGAATGCAAAAAAAATGATATTTGAAGAATTTTTCTTTTTAATTTCTGAAATCTGAAATGAGAAAAAATTGACCACCGTCAATTTTTTTTACACCCCCCCCCCCCTAATTTGTTTTCACGTCCCCCACCCCTTATTCCCAAAAAAAATTATTTCCCTCAATATATGGTCATAATCGCAATTCAAATTTACAGTGGAGTTTGCAACCATAATTACCCATTTAAATACATCATAAAAGTCTTAAAATAGAAAATGACATACATAATCATGGCTAAAATTAATATTCCTTAATAGTAACTTCTAAAAATAAATTGACAGCTAATCATCTCAAGACAATACAACATTTCTTTATACATTATTTAAAAGCATTGTAAGGGTAGGTAATTAAAACGTTGTGTTTGGATTACCTCCCTTACACTGCTTTCAAATTGTCTTAAGTAATTGTCAATTAACCAGGAAACCCTTGTTTTTCACCCTTTTTTGCACCTAATTCCTAAACGATTTGAGCCATAACCCCCCAAAGCAAATCCTAACCATCCCTTTGTGGTATGGAAACTTGTGGTTTAATTTCAGAGAGATCAATACACCGTTCCACAAGTTATTGCCTGGAAACTAGAAAAATGCTTATTTGGGCCCCTTTTTGGCCCTTAATTCATAAACTGTTAAGACCATTACCCCCAAAATCAATCCCAACCTTCCGTTTGTTGTATAAATTTCATAGATTTCTATTTAATTATACTAAAGTCATTGTCCGGAAACCAACTGTCTTCGGACGACGCTGACGACGACGACGACGACGACGACGCTGACGACGACGAGGACGACAACAACGACGACGACGACGTGATACCAATATACGACCGCAAATTTTTTTGCGTTCGTATTAGAACACTCAGGGAGCAACCATTGAACTTGAAAGAGGGGGGTGGGGTTATGGTTTTTTGTCTGAATCAGAAAAAATTTTCGCGCAAAGCTCGAACTTTTTTTTTTTAGTTTTTCCACGCTATCAATCAAATTATTAAATTATTTTTTTTCAAAATTTAACACTATAAGGTATGGGGAAAATCTGGATTCAGAGTTAAAGTTCCTCAAAGTTAAATGGTCGTTCCCTTATGACAATATAAGAGGAGCATTAGGTTCTTCAAGTTGCACTTAAAATTCCCCCATGGACATTTTGAAAAGTTGGCAGAATTATTGCTCAGAATAAAAGAAATCGTTGTTTGGTTATCTTGTTAGTAACCTAGCTACAATTAAAGTTTATCGTTTACCACTTTACTTCTACATATTTTCACATGCTTGTAAACCAAGTGCAAAAACATATTTGCTGATCTTATTATTTTGATGCTTTGCCAAATTTATCTTAAACAAGAAGATACTTTTGAATGAACATTTATAATAGAACAGTTATACCAAAAAAATCTGTTTAACTATGTATGACGTCGATTGCACATCTAAAGAGGTCTATACAACAGATGACCTGGTTTTTGTATACCATGCAAGTTCCATTTCAATTAAAATGTAAATTAAGATTCGATATATAATTAAATATTATTCACTTCACTAAGGTCTGCTTTTGACTGATACTTACTGTTCTCTTTTTTTTTTTAAAGTATTGACGCACATACGCTTCGAGACATTATTCACTTTTCTAACGCAATCGTATATTTCGAAAATAAATATGTAACGCCCGTTTCGTCGTATTTAAAAAAGAGAAACGGGCAATGTAAGATTGTGTTATTTATACCGAAACCATATTAAATAAGAGAAAATAAACTGAATTGATATAGAGATTTTATTCATAACTACACGAAACACCAAACAGGGGAATGCACGCTATCATCGCAAGTGCGTGTGAGATTTAGACCTTACTACCGTACACTGACTGTATAGACGCCTGTCATTTGTTTGAAGACGTATGTTGACAATGACATATACATGTACCACGTCTTTCTGTGTCGTTTGGTTGCTGTCCCATTTTACTGTTAAAAGGGCGTACTGCCGAACAAACGTATTAATATCACTTCTGTCATAAAAAGATAATCTACATACATGCTAATTTTGAAAATAGAAATATGTGGAGATTTAAACTCCAGCGATGCAAATGTAAAGTCCGTGAAAAATTTTGCCTGATAATTAACTTTCGTATTTGGTGTATCGATTTTTTTACCTTTCAGAATCAATTAACAATATCGAACTCAAAGGTTTGTGTATCTTTTCTTTAAGCACGGGTTTCCCTCGCATTAGTGCGCTGTGTGGTTGCTGAAGAACTCACGAGAGGTATCGTGGTTAAGGTCACTGCCTACGGAAAAGCTATCGGCATATTAGATTACAGGAAGACAATAATTCAAGAGCATTTCTGAAGATTTTGATAAGATAAATGATTTACTTTTAAAAGAAAGTTCATGTACACGTGTTTTATAGTAAAACTTAACCATGCAAGTATATATAACATGTTATTAAGAGTAAACCAAAGAAGACACTAGAACATTATTTTTAGCATTAATAATAGCCGTCCAACAATAAAATTCATGTTGAAAAAGGAGGGTGTAGTTTGTCTGTAACAGTTTCTGGTTGTATGAATACGTAACCACGCTTGGTTCGTTAAATCAGAAACTCCATGCTACATCTATCTGAAAAGAAATGTTGCAACATTTCGTCCATTCGTGACATGTTGCAAAGAAAATTACCCCCAACCCTTCAAAATTTTGTTCAAATTGCCATCCCGTCAACTGGTCCATCAGTTTTACAGAATCTGATTTTTTGTTAATTTGTTTTCTTCCTAACGATGTATTTGACATTAACCACTAAGCGAAAATCTATCAAATGAATCATTTTTACAACGCGATGACCGTGAGGGCATTTCGATGTATTGCTATCGCCTAGATTTCCATTACGTAACTTTCGTTTTGGGTTTGTAACCGATCAATAAACATGATAAATACGCGGATATTAACGAGTGCAAAATGACATTCCTTATCGTTTGTTATAAATACATCTCTTCAATGAATACTGATAACAATATTTTTGTTTAGAACATAAATTAATAATACGAAAATGTTTTGTCGTTAGATATATATATATATAAGTAAAAAATCATTGATATGGTAAAGCATGCGGAAGAATATCTCAAGAACTTTTTGCGACAATCTCGGCAAGGACCGGTAACTCTGCATGGAAGATTGTTTTTTTAATAAAATATATAACAATAAACCAGTGTATACTGATTTGTATCACTACAATATAATAGTTATTACGGTGAGGTTGAATTTCCTGTCATTTATTCATCATCCACGCACGAACTTGTCTCAGAAAAAGAATATCTCTGAACATTAACCTCAGTTTCAGGTATAGAGATGTAATTTTTTTTTCTGTGACAAGTGCTTTTGACAATCCACAAGATCTTGCGGTCATCCGATGTTCAGTACTTCAGTACTTTGATTATGTTTACAGTCAAAGTTATATTTACTTAATACTTTAAAGAAATAATAAACTGAATCTGTTGGAAGTCAGCAATTTTAACGGATAAATATTATTTGAATAAGTAAATATTATTTCTGCACAAAGTCATATCTAAGATTGCATTGACATAAAATTGGAATTTATTTGTGAGCTCATTAAGCGGGGGGTATAGGTCTGTATTAGAAAGTGTCCATCGACTTAGAACGAACATTAAATCATAAAATTAACATATTGAACACATGTTAAGTGATGTAAAACACACTCTGTAATTGAAGCTTTTCAAAACTAACAAATAAGAAATAATTTCAAATAAAAAATTTAAATTGAACATACGTTTTGGTTATAGCTGTTCGCAGCTAGGTGCGCGTTTGTATTGTGCATGGTTATTGACACATTTTAGAAGTTGGAAACAAATCAAAATTAACGTGAACTGATGTGTGAAGAAGATATAAAAAGTCCCAGGTCGCACAGCGATTTTTGACTTGATGGAACATTGCATGAAGGGAAACAAGATGTTCACTGACAAAATACTAACAGTACTGGCAGTGGCTGCTCAAATCTTTATATTTTCAACAGATACAGGTAAATTCACTTTCATAATGTTTAATAATAAGTCATTACAGTTAATTCTAATACAACTTTTCCATAATGGGTTAGTGTTAAACTTCTCATAATTAGAGCTTTGAAATAAAGATTCAAATAATCCTTTATAAATGTTTTTTTCCGTCAATTGGAGAAATGTGTGTTGATGTAGATGTTGAATTGTGCCTGTCAAATTTATAAACTTGGGTGGATTTAAAGCTTTTTGTACATTGAGTAGCCGCTTAACGAAACGTCCATACAAACCGTTAATAAACAACTATATAAGGAAACACATAATATATATATTCATTAAACAAAACTTAGTCATGAGTAAGAAAAGGAGTCCAAATTTTACGTCGCGGAAGATTTAAATCTTAATTGACAAACGGGGAAGAATAAATCTTTACTATTTAGCAGACTGTGCAACACAACAACACACTCAGTTAAAAAGCTTAAGAGAGCATGGGAGGCTGCACGTGCAAAGATAAATGCAGTAAATGACACCGATCACCTGGATCAGTGGAAGTGATGTCGCAAATTTTATGATAATCATATTAAGACCATCATAAGTCATGTCGCGAAGTGTCTTAAGTTTGCGATAAAAAATATGACATATCGTAACTTGGGACACTTTTTGAAACATAGCTTACGACTATGACATGTCCTATGATACTTTTGAAAACCAGGGGCCGTGTCATCGAAGGTGTCTTAGGACTAAGATATGTCCTAAGATCATCTTAGGAGAATATTTTGCTCTTAGCCGTGTTATAGAAAAGATCTTATCTTAGGATATGTCCTAATTTTGGTCCCAACTTTAGGACTACTAATAAGCTGTCTTAGGATAGTCTTAAGACCATTTTAACTTTTAGAATAACTTTATGATGTACTAGCATATAAAAATTATAGACTTTTTTTGTATATTTTTGTTAAAATAGAATAAAAATAAAAATAAGATCAAATAAGATAATTCATTAAGTAGAATTTGAACTTCTGTGTCTTTAAAATTCGGACTTCTCTTCTTACACACAAGGTTACGGTAAAGTAATACAAAATAAATAATTTATGTCCTGAGTTTTTATACCAAGATTACACGAGATTCCCCTTTGAACTCAAAAAATATAAACTGGCCCTTTGAGGTCGTCTCATGTGATTATTTATAAATAAACATATATTTTACCGTATATGCATGTGTAGTATAAATTGTATTTTTTTTAAATGACATTTTCTTCTATACTTTCTTCCTTTTACTTGATTAAAAATATTTTTAAACTTATATTTTGAATACAAGATTTAAGTTTAAGCATAATATGTGTGTAAACCTAATGTAGCATACAGAAATCCTACTATTTTTGTATATTCTTGTTAAGATAATTGCATCATTATACGGCAACGAGAAATTGCACATACATAGGACTACGTTAGGACATGTTTGTTGATATTATCTTAGGATAACTTCGATGTACAGTCTGAGATATGTCATAAGACAGTCATAAGACTGTCCTATAATTTTTCCTAAGATATATCTTAAGACAAATCTTAGGACACTTTCGATGACACGGCCCAAGCCCCTGGGGCCGGTTTCACGAAGCAATCCTAAGACCTGTCATAAGATATATCGTAGGCCATGTCTTATGATCATCTTATGACTATCTTAGGACATATCTCAGACCTCACCTCGAAGCTGTCTTAAGATGATTTTAGGAAAGATATTCTAAACCTGTCGCAAGTTCTTTAATTTTTTTGGATTTATGGAAAAATTCATGTAAATGTAGTATGTATTTCCCATAAATTACTAAACGTATTGATTGATATTCCATAGTTAGATAATTTGCAAAACTGATATAAAAAGTAAGTGTAATTTATATAAATAATCTATTAATATACACCAAATTGAATATAAATATGAAAATTCAAATACAAAATAAAGGGGAAAAAAAGAACAAAATGACGTCAATTTTGTTTTTGTACAATTGAGTTGAATTCAATTTGTCACTGTATCGGTTATAATAAGGTTAAGGTTCATGTGGACCCTTTGGCTAAAATGGATTCATTTTTACAATAAAAATTTTCCATGAGTACTAACAAACCTATGTATCTGGAAAATTTTTAAGGCATAGCATGCTCTAGATAAATAAAATTCAAATACATTTTATGTTTTAGAAAATTAAAAAATTTAACTGGATTTTGCAATGCACTCTTTTCTTTCCTCCAAAAGACTGGATTGACATGGACAACAGATGGACAATAGATACCTGACAATAATTGGTGATTTAAACTGTGTACCTGAGTTGACCATATCAAATGAAACTCAACTCTGTTAATTTTTATCATCTTCTGCAGGGACGAAAAAAAGTGTACTGCACAGTAAAATCCAGTTAAGTTTTAAATTTCTTAAAACTTAAAACGCATTTGAATTTTATTTATCTAGGGCATGCTATGCCTTAAAACTTTTCCAGATGCAAAGATTAGTCTGTACTCAGAGTAAATTTTGAGGCGAAAACACAGCCGTTTTACCCAAAGGGTCCACGTGAACATTAAAGGATAAAATCGTGAATTCTTGCTATAAATACTTCGAATGTACATTGTTGATAAATCACTTTGATAAACCGTCAAACCATTAAGATTTAGTTATGAGCAGGAAAAGGAGTCCCAATTTCACAGAATCAGAGCTTCACTCTTTCGGATGCCGTGGAAAAGAACAAGTCAGTACTTTTCAGAAAACTTTCAAATTAAAACCATCATACGACACCTCTCGTGTAGTCCTAACTTTATGACAAACTTTAAGAGATGTCCAAAGTTATGACCTCTTTGTGAAACCCACTAAGGACTAAGATATGTCGCAAGACCATCATAAGAAATGTCTTATTCCTAAGACGGCTTTGTGAAACTGGCCTCAGATTCTTATAATTATAATCAATTTAGAAAAGTCGCGTTTGGATATCTTTATCAACTAGTAAGTTACAAAAATTTCAGACACAAGTATAAACTTATAAGGTATAGAACCTACAATTCGGACACGTTCATTAGGAAGAGGATACACGTATAAAAGTAGTACATATTTCACACAATATAGTTCATACGCATAGCTGTAACTTTCAAAATATCTGTCAAATATTTGGGTATATTTTTGGTATGAATGAAAGCTCGAAGACCTGGGGTCACTGTATAAATGTTAATTTTGAATAATAAAAAAGTTGTATGAAATAAGAAGTACCTGTTTTTTTGTTTGTTTATATGCAATTAAAGGTGATTAAAATGGCCGTGAATGTTCGAATTTGGTAAATTTACTATGGAAAGCAATAGATCAATATATTGGTGGTTTGACAAGTCTAAATTGAAAACAACGTTCAAACCTATATCTGCGTTACGTGTGCATGCAAAACAAAGGACAAGGTACGATAAGGCCTGTTTTTGGCTCCCCTATTTTCTCATTTTTCAAATTCTGTTTTTGAAAGCTACTTGTTATGTTAAAATATTCTCTGAGGTTTGAAGTTTGTTTGGATGAACTTCAAAACCACTAATTTTAACAACTGGGTAAGGTGAGTGGGGTAAACTTTCTCTTATTATTCAAATATTGTAATTATTATTTACTTTTCAGGTGTTCCGTACAACGGTTTTTTAGTTTTTAAGTGCCTGCGCCAACGTGACCCAGGATTTTGTTTATTCCAATGTCATGAGAATTGATTTTGCTGTCTAAATTGCCATAATTTTCTCCAGGTCACGTAGGCGCACGGTATTAAATTTTAAGAAACAATGGCCTAAAATCGTAATTTTTCCTTCTTTTGGCGTTTTTGATACCCTTTTAACCCCCTAATCTCACCAATTTTCTGAAGTTAATGGTTTTGAAGTTCATTCAAACAAGCTTCAAACCGAAGGGAATATTTTAACGTGATAAGTAGCTTTCCAAAACAAAATTTGAAAAATGAGAAAATAGGGGGGCCAAAAACGGGCCTTATCGTACCTTGTCCTTTCTTGGTAGAGGGGTTTAAATACAGCACAAACAACATTTTCCAAAAGACCAAAACATTGGTGGTTTGATACACACACAAAAAAAGAAACAACTTTAAAGCACTAACATAAATAAGTTTTATGTTTTCTATCTAAACCTTGATTACCTATGCCATATGCATGAGTCATATATATATATTGTAACAAAAGTTATCTATATATATATTGTAACAAAAGTTATCTATATATATATTGTAACAAAAGTTATCTATATATACATTGTAACAAAATTTATTTATATATATATTGTAACAAAAGTTAGTTATCTATAAACTATATTTTCTAATATGAAATTGTAAATATGCAGAAAATCAACGAGGAAAAAGATGTTTTTTGCAGTAACATCTTTTTTTAATATTAAAACATATAAATACGTTTAGTCCGAAATTAATTCACGCGACACACAGAAGAGTTTTATGTATTACAATAAATAGAGTGTGAAACTGATTATATTAAGCCTTTCGAGGTTGTTTTAAAAGAAAAAAAGTCAAATGGACCAGTTAAACGAGCAACACGTTAAGATTTCTTTATGAACATATGAATTGTTAACCTATCATTTAAATATAAACGAAAATCAAGTCTTGAAATATGCTCAATATCAAAGTAAAAGCATTTAATGTCCTTGTAAAATTTGTACTGCTACGTTTTAGTTTTGGAAATAAATAATTAAAAGCTATTTATTGTTTTGTAGATGCGATATTTTTATATCGTTTTTATTGTAACTATACGTTATATGAGGTAGCAGATGTTTCATTTTATATGAGGTAGCAGTCTTAGCCCATTGCTTACTGTTAAAATGAACCTTTGAGACATCTATCGAAATTCTTAATTGTTCTTCAAACATATTTGTATTAGATAAAAGTTATATGGCAGATGTTTCACTTGTTCCGTTGATTGATATCGTTTGATTTTGTTAGTTTTTATGGAATTCCACTACTTGAATTTGCCTTGGAGTTAGGTATTTTTGTTATACTTTTTTATATGCGAAGGAT